GCCTCCGGGTGCTGGATTCGGCGCAGGCAAAATGTTCAGGGTTTTGGGCTTTTGGGTTTGTTTTTTTGTATGTAACTGGGGGGGGGGGGGGGGCGGGTGCTAAATGGATATGGACATCAGGCTCCGCAGTTCTATATTATATTTTGTAGTTTCAGGCTTTAGGGCTGGGTGCTGAGGCATGGCTTCAAGCTTGAGGCCTGTTGGGTCTTTTTCCATGCCGACTTTGTTTACACTTTACACCGGCCCCCGGGCTGAAGAAGCGTCACTGCAAGAAGTCTGGAAGGACAAGCCCCGCCCCGCCGATTCCGCAGTGTGAGCAGCAGCCGTCGCCGTCAGATCACGTAAAGTCGTAAGCTATCTGACATAATCTCTTCCTTGAGCCCTTAGGCACCAGGCCCCAGGCCCTAAGCCTTCAACTTGGAATGCAAAATTACCAGGCGCTTTTGCCAGCTCGCTCTCCAACACCAGCGACCTGGGTCAGCTGACTTTGCAGATTGCAATGCCCAACGAGGAGGCCCAAGAGTCTAGAGTTTAACGGTTCTCGTAGCTACAGGGTTCGGCTTGCGGGTTTGAGAAACCCGAACTGTGGAGCATAGTTTCAGTCCGCCCAAGCGACCCAAACCAAGACAGGTGATTCTTGGAGAGCTGGTACTTCTTGCGCTTAGTTACTTAGTTTTCGCAATATCGACACCTGAAAAGTGAAAAAAACACGACTCCTTGGGCCGTAGGGTTCCATGTTGAGTATGTTGTTTCCCCCCAAACCCGGTTCTAATGATTGAGGCCCCAATATTCGTGTTCTGGGCTCTGCGTCGTGTGGCTGAGTCCGCGAGCTCCATGTCTCAAAGTAAAGCGATGCCCAACGACCTGACCCTTAACCCAAACCGGTCGTAAGTTAGACGCCAAAGAATTAGGGTTCTGGGTTTAGGTCGGAAGCCCTAAATAGGTTCCTATCTTCGAACCACAATGATTCTGAAATGATTGTCGACTGTATTTTGCTCTTCCCGAGAGGTCGTATGCGTTGATATACACATATGCATGTCGTGTGTAGTACTCAGTGCACTGTATATCCACAACAGCATCTTGCACACAACAGTCCCTGAAGCCAAATCCTGCATCGACAAGCCCCAGTGCACGGCCTTTGTATAGGGGCCTGGATAATCTGTAACAGCGTGTTGGTAGCGTTCCTGGCTACCTTTTAGTATAGTACGCTGTTGACCTTAAGTCCAAATTATTGAGGCCCCTAAATTCATTCAATGCTCCAACACCTAGAGAAACCAGCCTGCGTTATGGAAGACCGTGACTCCTTAGCCCGAAACCGAAAAACCCGGATCCTCAACCAGGTCTCCCGCATCATGGCTTCGGAGTCCTCTGGCATTGCACGAAGGGCAGGTGGGAACTTCGGTCCTTTCGGGTTTACTTGATGTGGGCTTTGCATTCAGGATCCATGGGACAATCATCATCCTGGGCCGTTCTTGAACATGGCTTGGAGTCTTAGTTTAGCATGTTACAAAAGTTTTGAGAATGAGCAATCGCAGCCCAGACAACATGATCATGATTATCATCATCGTCGCCATGATTTAACTGATGTGCAGCAGGCGGCCGGCCCCCTATAGCCCACGCGAAAGCCCATCAAAGCATCTGCTCAAATTGTAAGACCTTCCATGTTCAGCACTCACTCACTCGCTCGCTCGCCACACACACACACACCACACAGATGCACGTCAAGCACTCGATCAGCTTGGGCACCTTCTCTGTGTTGTGGTATGATTTCTTTCTGTTGGTCGCAGATCATCTTCTTGTTCATCTTATTACTGCTACTGCTGACAGTGCCACGATTAGAGCGCTTATCGCACATGTGGTTGCTGCTTCCTTGCTGTGCTTATGACTATGATTCTGCTCAGCTCTATGGTTATATGTCAACTACTTTCTACTAGCATTGCTGTCGTTGTGATGATGGCCATTGACTATCGCAATTACCTCAGCACATGATTTGCTTGCATCTGAATGCTTCATGCTCGTTGCAGAGTCTTTCCGAAAATTCGTCTGCTGTGGAGCCATTCCATAAAGCAGGTGTCAGGCTGTCAGCAGCCAGGGGAGCGGGAGGCTTGCCAGTGCTGAAGGCCTGCTGGGGATTGTGGAGATTTAGAACGTATCCTAAACCCGAAACCGTAAAACTTTAAGGCATGGTGAGACTATGGGCTCTTCCCACCCCGTCGCATCCCAGCAGGGGGGGCCTACTTAGAAGCACTGCTGCCTAGCAACTGTTGCCATTGAGAAATCGTTCGCTTACCTAGCCCTGATGCAGCAGAGAGCACGGAGTTTGGAGTTTGGGGAGGCTTCACGGCCTGGGCTGTCTTGAGGAAACAGGTTGCTCACGGCTCCGTGCTTTCAAGAACGCAATCTGCATGTGGGCCCTAAGTTTCGACCCATTGCAATCCAAGAAGATGAGCGTTTTGTAAACGTCAACGGTTCCGTTCAGTGGGAGTCTGAGTCAGCATGCCAGAAAGCCCACTCGCTTCTCAGTAGTACCTGTTGAGGCTAGCCTCGGACTCTCCTGCTTGCGGTTTGATCTTGAGCATGACAGACACTGTGTTCCGGCGATGGCCTTGGGTTCAGCGTCGGCTAGGTGTGGCTAGGTGAAACAATGTGCCGGTTCATGTTAACTCGACTTTCTAGGGATGATCTGCTATATGTACTTTTGCTTGTTAGTAATCTTGCTTTTGAAGTTTGCCGAGAGCTACGTCGTTGCTACGTTTCGTGCCTCCCCGTGGCCCAGTGGAGAACAGGTCCGAACCGACTAATCGGCTTAGCTGCTACTTGCCGATGATAGAGAGGACGTTGGTGTAGGGAGTGGACAAAAGCGTATACGGCTGTAGGATTTATGTAGGCGCATTGAGAGTGCATGTCGCATTTTCCACGTAACACAGCCTGCAGAGCTGACGCAGGGGTTTGCGGTGCATAGGTTTTCCGGTTGACCGTGAGTTGAGGGAGGACTTGAGTCGAAATGATTGGCCATGATATTAGTTTAGGGGCTGCGTGTTGAGGATTTTGAAATACGAAGTCCCGGTGCGCTGAGCGAATCCTTAAACTGCCCCCTCAACCCGAAACCCGAACTCGGGTGCAGGTCAGTGGCACTGCCGTTGCCAACTCTGTGGCTTGCTATCTCATCCAGGAGAGCTCTCTGCTGAAACTCCAACACCCTGAGCTCGAAGCTTTGTCAACAACTCGTCGTGGAGCCTCGAGAGTCATAAGCGAATGAATACATGAAAGGTCACACCTAGTGGTAGTGCTGTTGTTGGTGGTAGTAGTAATGTAGTGGTAGTAGTATTCTTCAGCCCAGTTGAACCAAAGCTCCATCGAATGCGCAGTTTGTTGTTTTCGAGATTCCGGATCTGCTTTGGCGGGCTCTGTAAGGGAACCACAGTTTTCAGCGTGCATACGAAGTTTCGAAGAGACGGGTTGACTTCATTGGTGGCCCTCCAACATTGTGTTGTTAAAGTCTTGGGCTCATTATGTTTGGCTATCCCTTAGCTTCAGTTTGGGGTCTCAATTTGGGAATTCTTATCTCTTCTTGCTGCTTCACGGGGGTGCATCGGGTCGCTCGAGCTCATTCATTGGAATCCCGTCCGCCGTGGATGTTTGGTGGAGCCCTGCAAGTCTATCGTCATTGTTCGAAGATGTGGACCTCACGGTGTGGGTTGCACCTCTGGGGGCGATTTGCCCGCCGCAATGTTCAAGTTAGGCCTGACAAAGAGACCATAAAACCCATTGAGCCCATGTACCCAAACCCACTGCGAGAACTCTCATCCACTGCAGAACCTGCAGGATCGGCTCTATCTGATGCAGTGAGTTGCGATCAGGCTTCAAGAAAACTCACATACTGGTAGAACATAATTGGCATTCAACGTACAAGCATGTCCATCTCGCCCTCTGTCTCTCTGGGTATATATACCTACATATGCCTGCACACAGTATGCATGCATACACACCCACACACGCAGACATAATATATATATATATATATATATATATACACATACACACACACACACACAGAGCATGTAGGTAGACACACGCACATCCAGCCATCACAAGCTTGGAAGCCTGCGCCCGCACTCGACAGCACTTCCCTGCGGATTTGGGCGCAGCGTCTCCTTAGGGCCGGATCGAAGGCTCTGTGCCTGCGGTGAAGCAAAACAGGGTTCTTGTTAAGGGATTGAATTTAAGTTGCCATCATCATAAGGAATACCATATCTTTTGCTATAGATCCCTATTTAGATCCCTATTTGGGCAGACCCCATGTCTTGCAGGTTGGTGTCCTTGCGGGCTCTTGGGTTTCGAGGTATAACGTGTAACGTTCAGGTCGCATCGTGTGCATGTGAAGCTCCACGAGGACCACCCCTCTCTGGGCCCCCCTCCCCCTCCCTCTCCCTCCCTCTGCCTCCCTCCCTCTCTCTCTCTCTCTGTCTCTGTCTCTGTCTCTCTCTCTCTCTCTCTGTCTCCCTCTCTCTCTGTCTCTCTCTCTCTCTCTCTCTATCTCTCTCTATCTCTCTCTCTCTCTCTCTCTATCTCTCTATCTCTCTCTCTCTCTCACTCTCTCTCTGTCACTCTCTCTCTCTCTCTGTCTGTCTCTCTGTCTCTCTCTCTCTCTCTGTCTGTCTCTCTGTCTCTCTCTCTCTCTCTCGCTCTCTTTTGCTCTCTCTGACTGCGACTCCCTGACACGCACATTTTCACATCTTTGAACATGGAACTTGTTTTTCGCCTTGCAATGCTTCGCGAGCATCAAGCATCTGCACTTTGGAGTGGTGTGTCTGTGTAACACGGACCCCAGGCTGTTCGTTGCCTCACCCCGACTATCAGGAGGATGACAGGTCCCCTAACAGTGAATCTCGTATCTGAGGCCCCGGAAAGCTCAAGCACATCATGTAGAAGTCGCAGTAAGCCGAGAAGCGACAGAGAATACCAATCACGTGACGAAATCTAGCCAGACCGCCTCTGGCATGTGGGCTCGCCCGAGCCATGCCGTGCGGCTCCAATCTCAAGAAGTGGCGACACTTCTCCAAGGAGGGTCAATTGTGTAGCGATGGTCGGGGCTCGATATCCAAACTGGCTGTAATTCAAACTTGGCGACTGTTCTTTGCTTGTTGTGGAAACCAGCCACTTTCGTTTCAGGATCCCCAACCCTACGTTGCCCTGCCCTAGACCGTTTCTGCCAGGCGCGCAAAGGGTCCGATGGTTTGCGAAACGGCGCCGTCGCTTGGACCAGTACGAGAATTTCGAGAAGCCGATGAGTGCGAAAGCCTGGACGCGGATGACGAAGGAGGGCGGCTTCTTCGAGCACAGTTTTCAAGACATGACTCCTGGGGAGGTCTCGGACACGGTGTTCTCTGCATCTAAGATGGGTGTCGAAGCCACTGCGTTCTGGACCAGAGCCTCACTTTCAACGGGAGATTTGGCGAGTGCCCAGTCTTGAGAGATTAAGTCTAGTTCCTGTTTCCTTTGCCACGAAGCAGCTGACCTAAGCTATAGCAAAAGAGGTTCTCAGATGTAGTTTTTTCGAAGTTTCTAGCTCTCCAGAGAAGGCGCGATGACGGCACGGCAGCTGGCCACAGCATGCTATGCATTCGGAGCCGTAAAGTGGCATGACGAGGATATGGTGCGCAGCATCGCGCCCTCGGTCATCAAGCAAGCTCCGAGCCCTGCCTGCACTCACTTCCCTAGTAGAGATTTTGCTCGGAGTATTTCCTGGAGATTAGAAGAAGAACACCAAGCAACCCCAAGCCCAAAACCTCCCTCATTACTGATGTACAGGGCGTTTGCAGTTCAGAGTTAGGTCAGGATCGCAGCTTCAAGCAGCGCCCGAAATTACAAAAGAAGTTCCACACAATATCACAACAGAAGCAACCCCACACTACAAACCCTGAAGTCCAAACCAACAACCCTGCGCATTTGCAAAGGAGCATGAAACCCGCCCTCCTGGCGGCAGTGGTACAATCGTTCGCTCGGATGAAGGCAGCTCAGGGCTGTTTCCTCACATGGCGAAGCTGGTTGTTTCGTGATTTTAGAGAAGTTTCGGCCAGTGTCATCGCAGCCTGAAGAGGCATCGCCTCACGTCTGTGCAGGCTGCATTCTTCCACAACATAGACTGCCCATCCAGGTCCGCAACATGCCGGCCCTCCGTGCCATATCGCAAGCGGTTCAAGCCTCCACCCGTTTCAACGACAAGGGCCTGCCTCCTGGATGCGAAGGGGGGGCCCTCTTGAACACTGTGGCATTCGTAAGCTCAAAGCCCTTGTGTTCCATGTTCAAAGCCTTCAGGTTGCGGTGAGTCTACGCAGCCTTTTCTGTGGATATGGGCGTGCCTGCTTGTTTGTTGAAGAGCACAAGTAGCGCAATTGGACAGATCCGAAAGAGCGGATTCCTGCAGTTGTTTTCTCTTGTTGTGTGAGTGCGGAGCACACAAGAAGCCCGAAATCAAGTTTTCCTTTTGGCCCTGTGCTCCCAGCATCGATGCCCTTAAAGAGCCAGAGCCCAGAGCGAGAGGCCCAGGGCCCAGAGAGGACACTCTCCTTGCGTCCCAAAGGTCCATGGTGGCGAAGAGCTTCGCAGAGCTGGAATTCCGATGCCCGGACTTCCTGCAAGCCTTGGATGCTTGGGCGGCGGCAGGAGTGGACTCGAGCACCTTGGAGGTCCGGTGACCAGACAGCTGAAAGATGGAGAAGCCCCAAGCTGGAAAGCAGAATTCCACCCCCTTGCTGCCCACATCCAAAGCAGAAGTAGGTGAAAACAGCCCAAACAAGAAGCAGCGAAAGAGCAGAAGAGATGACCATCCGAACAGGCCTGCTTGGACCTCCTGCAGAGCCTCGCAGCCTTCTCGGCCTTAGAGGGGCCCTTAAACTGGCCCTCTCCCAAGCCTTTCGGTCAACCGGTGCCGGCGCTGGCGCCCGTGGCCGTCCGTGAGATCGTGGAAATGCTGGGCCGGAGGGTGAAGGAGACTCCTTCTTTGCTCGAGGGGTTCTCAGGGAGGCAGCTCTGAAAGTGCTGAAGTCTTTTCTTCGACTCCTGCTTCATTTGAGGTTCAAGGTTTCGTCATGATCCTTGAGGGGTTTGCAAAAGATATCCATGCTCAGAGTCTTGTCATGTCGAGGAGCTGGAGCCACCACAGCTGCACACTGCCATCCTGGCGATGGGAAAGCTGCGGGTGCAGGACTGCAGAGGGCTGCAAAAAAGGGGCCATCATAATTAATTACAGGGTTTGGGGGGGCCACATTATCAAACCAAGGAGCCCTAAGGTCCTACACCATGCGCCTTCAATGGTTCTTTGTTCTTGAAGGACCTGGTGGTTTTAGAGGCCTTCCAGAAAGAGATTCTGGCGGACCTGAGCCGCATGCACACGAACTCCCTGCCTCCCGTCCTTGAGTCCTTCGCCCTCTGCTACGAGCAGCTCCGGTCAAGCGGCCAAGACTCAGAAGAGAGCTCTGTGCAGGAGGAGCGCGAGCTGTTTCTGGTGCAGCTCACCAGCCGTATGGCCAGGGAGCTCCGTCTTCTTCGGCCCCAGGATGCCAGCCGAGTGCTTTCTGCCATCGGACGCCTGGGACTCGTCGATCCGAAGCTGCTCACGACGGCCGCCGCCCTGGTGCCTCCCCGCCTTGCCGCCTACTCCGCGCCGGAAGTCCTGGCGCTGCTGGAGGCCTACGCAGCGGCCGGGAACTCCGACACCTTCATGCTCCCCTGCCTTCGCCGGGCGCTGGTGCCCTTGCCAAGCGCCTTGGAGGATCGGCTTCAGGAGCTGGACGATGCACAAATCGTGCAAGCGGCCAGCGCCTTCGCGTCGCTTGGTCACGCGCCGGGCCTCGTCGCACTGCTCGCCGTCCTCCGGGAGCCGTTTCAGCGGCGCAACGCAAGCGCAGGACAAGGGGCTCGACGACGCCAGGCTTCTACCACAGCAGACTCCACAATTGAACAGGCATCACGGCATTTGGCACCAGCTTGTCAGCTGGCCTTGGCAACATTGGTAGCCATGCACCTCCCGGATTCTCCGACCTGGGCCGCCGCAGCTTCTGCAGTCATGCAAGGAGCTGCCAAAGAGGCCTCGAAGCATCAAGACGGTGCTTCTCTCCTGGAGAACCTGAAGCAGTTGCTTGAAAGTGGAGAGGATCCTTGGAGGTCTGCAGCGAAGCCTTCCCTCTACTCTGCAGATGAGCTTGTCCTAGCCTGCCTGGGCTTCCCGAGGCACTCAGGTCGGGTATTCTGGTATGAGGAGGTCTCTAGAAAGACGGCGGAGGTGAGCCTCTCACTTCTCCCCGGCTTCCTGCGCCATGCGGCCGAGGCCGAGTTGGGAGAGACCCGGAGCGCGCCGCTCCCGTCCCTCCAGAGCCTTCGGCCTAGAAGAGACCTGGAGGAGAGCTCGGAGCTCTCGAAAGCCAAGGGCCGAGCCCAAGAGGTGCTCTTGGAGCGATTGATGCAGCAGAAGGGCCAGGAAGAGCTCCAGGAGCTGCCTCCCATGGTCATCGTGGCCCTCTTCCGATCTTTGGAGCTCATGAGCTCTGGGCCCGTCAGCCTTCCGCCGGAGGCGCCGGAGCTCTTGAAGGCGCCCTGCAGGCAAGTACTCGTAGCTACAGACGGATTCATTTCCGCACTCTGGGAGAGAGTACTAGAAGGCTGTACCGAAATGCTTTCAGGGATGTTGTCAGACTCCCCGCAATATCATGGCCATAGCAATGTAAAGGCGAGACAAAGGCCCGTGGCTGGGCTTTGCCAGCCTGGTTTCTCCGGTTGGGACTGTGCACCTTTTCGGGATTCAGCGAGTCTTGGGTTCTGGAGTGCAGACAAAATAGTAAGTTATTCCAAGAAGCATAGTAGAGCCGAGATATTTCCAGCGATCTGGCCCATTCTATTGCTAATACTTATGAGGCTGGTCAGTCTATGACTACTTGACTTCTTCTGCTATGACTACTCGAAAGCTTAAATAATGAGCAGTAGTTTGCAATACCGTTTGCTAGGGTTCCGTGTCACAATCACAACATAGAATACTCCAAAACCCTAGTCTGTTGATCAAGGGCCCCATGTTAGTCTGACGAAGGTTCTCCAGCAAGCGACCGTTCCGCTGCTGCAGCGCCTGGCTATGCTGGCGCAAGAGCAGCAGCTCAGTGCCAAGGCTGCCAGGGCGAGAGCCCCCAATCAGAATAGTTAGAATGGTACTGATGGTAAGAATAGTACGAAGTGTAAGAGTAGTAATGATAGAAGCAAGAGTAATGACAGTAAGCCAAGTAAGAATAGCCCCCAAGCCCCCCGTCTCTTTTGGGAAAGGGGCCGAAGAACACCAGATGTTCAGAGTTTTGGACGGTCGTGACGGTTCAGATTCGGGCTTGATGTCTTGTGGCCGTGGCAGATATTCGTGTTTGGATGTTGGCCACTCTCATCCTTGGGATGGGGAATCTGCCACTGATGGTCAGGGCCTGCGAGCTGGTGTTTCGAGTTGAGAGTTTCTGGGACATGTTCCAACATCATTCGGACAAGCTCATTCCCGACAAGATCTGGACTTCTTTACTGTCCCTGATAGTGAAAACAGCAGCAAGCAATGCCGACGAAACACCAGAAGCTGCCAGGAAGTAGCTGAGCTTTGATAATTACGTGTTATAGAACCCTCATGCCCCTCGCATATGTCTGTGGCAGGCCTGCGTGCGGATTCTCCAGAGCATGAAGGCACCACTGGAAACCCACGTAGCGGAGGACATTAAGCTGTGGTTAGGTAGGGTTCGCCATGCCTTCGTTTCGGGACAGATGTCCGTAGACTGTTTCCCTTCCTTCGCGAGCTAACGCCGGCTCCAAAAACCACCGGGACGTAGCAGCACTCGAACAATACATCTCAGGCATTGGTGGCCGTTTGGAGACCTGTAACCTTCCTCAGAAATATCGAGCTCTCGCCAGAAGCCCCAGACAGAAATCCACCCCCCAAGCATGCCAACCCCAACCGACTGCAAGCCTTTCTGCGGTTTTGCCACTCAGTCCATCTCGAAACCCTTAAAGACTTGAAGCCTAGTCCTAAAACCAAATTGAAAAGCCCCTGAGGCCCACTCCCTAAACCAGAAACCCGTCAATCCGAGTCCTTAAAGCAAAAACTCGATCCGACCTAAACCAGAAACCGTCGAAACCTCACCCTAAATCCTATAGCTTTTCGCCGCCGAAAGTCTGGCTCGGGCTTTTGCAAGTGAGCTGATGAGAGTTCTCGAGCCGATACTCTAAGGATCATGGGACTTAGGATTTTGGGTTGAGGATCATGGGACTTAGTAAATAGGGTCATGCATAGTCAGTTAATACTGACTATCTCGCACCTAAACTCAATGAAGATGCTTGTAGCCCCACTCAAGATATCCATGATCCTTTAACTGGTAGGCAACCATATCAGAGCAAGTAAGGTTTAGGATTTTGCAGGAAGTGCTAAGACGCGCCGTGAACGGAATCACTATGCTACCGCCAACAACCACACTGTCAGCATGGTCACTGGCACTCTCGCCATTATCAACATCACTACCATGAGATCCCAGGACTCAGCAGTCCAGAGTTCGCGCTCATGAAGCAGACCCTCCAACACCAAACCTATCCCATTCTATCTCTCTCGCTCTCTCTCTCTCTCTTTGTCTTTCTTCGTTTACTATACGCAGATACATAGATGCACAGATCGATAGCTGGAGTACACCAAGGGAGCAGGAGAGCTTCGACCCGATCCACACCCACAGAGATTTCCACCTAAGCCTCAAGCTCCAGCCGCGGAGCCCATGTCTGTGCGGAAGACGAAATCCGTGGGTTCTGGGCTCGGGGCGACCTGCCCGCGAAATAGAGAATGAAAAATCGGCTTGAGGGTTTTGGCGTCTGGGGTCTGGGGTTCAGTTTTTTTTTGTTCCGGGTTCGCGGGCTTCAAGGTTTTTTTTAGATTCAGTGTTTTTGCGGTTTCATACCGAAAGTTTTGCAACTCCCAAGGCTTGAAAGTCGCTGTCGCCACAGTAGCAATGACCATGGTTTTGGTGGAAATGATGGCAAGCGATAGTAGTCGTAGCAGAGCAGGTTCAAGGAAGACAAATTAACATTGCAACAGGGGTGCAAAGTGGATGACAGCGCCGAGTGCACACCATGTCATTTGCAGTTTGCCATTCTTCTAAGGACTTCATCTCAGAAGTGGAAGTAGAGGAGACTAAACGAATCCACTCAGTCTCTCTCTGTCTTTTATTCTGTCTCTCTCTCTCTCTCTCTCTGTGTCTTTCTCTCTCCCTCTCTCTCGCTCTCTGTCTTTCTCTCTCGCTCTCTCTGTCTCTGTCTGTTTATCTTTTTTTCTCTCCCTCTCTCTCTCTCTCGCCTCGCTCGTCTCTCTCTTCGCGCTCCCATCTCTCTTCTTCCCTCTCGCTCGCTCGCTCGCTCGCTCTCTCTCTCTCTCTCTCTCGCTCTTTATTGTCGCAACGCCTCAGACCAATGGAGGTTGCAACTGTCGGGGTCATCTTGTCGCCGAGGTTCATGGCGGATGCTGGGGAACCGCTCCCCACAAAGATCACCCTCATCTTTTTTGGGCGCAGGCAGAGACCGTGGGCTTGGGGAGGTTGTGGGACTGATGTGTCGGGGTTGGGAGTTTGAAGGGCTGAGGATCGGAGGAAGCCGGGGTCTTTGGATCTCCTTGCCCAAGTCAGAAACACGGTCATGAGGCCTACCGAATGAACCAGAACCACAGGAAAGCACGGTTATTTCCTTGCCCGGCGAAATCTTTAAGTCCCCCTCGGCCCTGAGCCCTGGACCCAAGCATTTCGCCAGGTATCGGCAGCACTGCTGATTTTGGGCCCGCTTGCGGCCACCATCTGGACACCCTGGCGCCAGGGGTGCGGTATCGGGGGCGCCTGCTCTGTCGGCGTGCAGGTCTGCGTGAGCTGGTGAAGGTCTCTTCCGGTTCAGGGTTCAGGGGTAATTCTCGGTGTCGCAGCACAGCGGAAAAAAACACATTGCTAGAAGATCGACCCGTGTTTCTGTACAACTGGAACATCGCTTTCCTGTGTCAGGTCTTTGTACAGCAAGAAAACCCACACCTCTGAGCTGCAATTGCTTTAAATAAAGCTAGAAGCACTGAAATCCCCAATACCCGAAGCCTTAAATTTGACCGGCCCAAAGACAGATCCTGAACCCCACACCCGTACTCCGAAACCATTGGTCCGAGAACCTGAAACCGTAGATCCTTACCCTCAGCCTCAGCACCTCCGAGCGTCCAAGCCGCCCCATGAGCACCAAAACACAAAACTCCCCAAAGCTCCAAATTTCATTCTCTCCCTAAGCCTAAGCTCTAACACCCTGAAGCCCTAAACCCTGACTTTCTCCCTCTCCCTCTCCCTCTCCCTGTCCCTCTCCCTCTCTCTCTCTTGCTTTCTTTTCCTTAGCTCCTGAACCCTGGCAGCTCTCCATGGCAACGGCGGTGCCGTTCAGCATCGTGACCCTGGGCTGCATGGAAATCTGCTGGCATGGGTGGTGAGGGCTGCATGCGACTGGGAGCTCTGGGCGATTCGAGGTTTTGGGGTTTTGAGTTTTTTGTGTGCGGGCTTTAGGGTTCGAGGGGTTTGGGGCTTAGGGCAACGGGTTTGGTGTTGAGAATTCTACAGGTATTGTGGTGTAGAGCTCTGACGAATTTCTCTGCTTTCGCTTTTCTGTGTGGTTTCTCCGAGACATGGGTAAAAATTAGGCACTGCAGTTTTCTAACTTGATAACCCAGCTTGTGCAACAGAACCCCGATTGCGCGGTACTCCTTCTCATCAAGCTCTCTTGAAGTCTTGCTGTTTTGACCGAGGGACCTTGTTGTTCTAATGGGTCGGTAGTGATCGGTCGGGTTGGTTTAACTAAGTGTTTAAGATACAGCTTTAAGGTATGAGGGGTTTAGGGCTTGCGTTCGGGGTCCGAAGAAGCTGCCTTAATCCTCAACCGCTTGTGAAGGAACCACCTGGGTCACGCTGTGGCGCGGCGGTGGATCCCACTGCTGCAGAAACTGGATAGGCCTTCGGTGTTGAGAGTTTAGGACGGTTTTCGAAGAGACGTCAATGCAGGATTCCTTCCAACTTTCCAGGTCTTTCTGCCCTTGAAGGGGAGTAAATTGAATTGTTGTAGTGGGACGGTACTATCACTATACACGCCGATGGCTCGGAATGAAATTACTGTGGCCACGTTTAACCGTCCATTTGCCCCCAGCTCCTGTCGCGCAGAACCACCATCTCTCTGGGCTGTGTGATCGGTGCTTGGGCACTCTCCCAAGACCTTTTCTTCACAGTGGGGTCAGCCCCTTGGTCTGGCTTCAGCAATGATGTTTTGCTGCCATGTGAATAGCAGAGTCATTCCCAGGGGAAGGTGCTCCGGTTGTCGTGGGAGTTGCAGGTGGTGCCGCAACCATGGCTCCGCTGGTAAGAACATACACATTATGTAACACATAGTAAATCATATACAATTAGCTTATACATATACATATATCTATGTATAAATGTATTTACATTTATAGAAATAGATACACACACACGTATATATATATATATATATATATATATATATATACACACATCCACATGGTATGCTATACTATACACCATGGTAATATATTAATATGTATGTGTATATATATATAAACATTTATGTATACACAGTGCACAATACCTAGTATGTAATATGTTTTATACCTAGAGGGGTTTGGCAGATTCAGGTTGGGTTTGTCGTGGTGACCAGCTTGTCGGCTCCAGATTCAGTGGTTTGAAAACGGCTTTGCGTCTGCACTGCCCAGTCAGTATGGGGGCTGTTATAACTTTTTTGCAAGTTCCCTGATTCTTCAACTACCAGAGCACCTCAGGCTTTACTGGCTTCTACGGTCATCATTATGCAACTTGTCCGCAGATCTGTGCCTAGTCGCACCGATACCGGTGGTTTTGAAACGGACGTTGAAGCAACCTCAAAGCGGAAGAAAGCACAGTAGCACCCAGAGCTCGCAGGACATCTCGATTTCAGAGCTTGCTGAGCCTTTCGCTAAGCTGGCTTGCCGGCGTTGTTCTGCTTAGCGGGTCCGTGTAGTTCGGGTGGGCGTAAAAGCGTAAAAGTGTAAAAGGTGAAATTCGTTTTTCGCGTTTTACGTTTTTCGGTGGTGCTCGCCAGTGTTTTGGACCAGACAAGCTCCGCGTACAAGCGTAAAAGCGTAAAAGTGTAAAACCGTATTTGTGTTTTTCGTTTTTACGCTTTTACCCTGCCCCGCGTTTGTTTTCGCGGCACGTGATTGTCTGAAAGCGTAAAAGCGCAAAAGCGTAAAAGCGTAAACGGCCGGTTCTCAGCGTACAAGCGTAAAAGTGCAAAAGCGTAAAAGCGTAAAAGGCGCGTTCTCTGCGTAAAAGCGTAAAAGCGTAAAAGCGTAAAACGTAAATTTTGTTTTTTCGCTTTTTCGCTGTTTTCGCTTGAATTCTGCACCAAGGGCCGCTGAAACCGTAGTCTACACCCTGTAGCTCCAAGCCTAAACCCGTCCGGCTTACTATGTGGGCTACGGCGTCGCCAAGAATGCCTGGCCAAGGCCCCAACGAGTTAGCTGATGATGAAAAGTATAGAAAACAACTCTGTAGATTATGGTTTTGTAAAGAAGAAAAACCTGAAGCGGAAGAAGAAAAACAGAGAAAACACATTGGGAAAGGCGAACATTGTCATTACACTTTCCGGATATTCTTTGAAAAAGCTCGAGGAATCGAAGTGTCGAGCATGCATAATTTCATGTCTTGCATGGCATGCATGTAAAGGCATTGTTGCATTTATGGAGATTGGTAAGCTAGCAAGGTAAGGTTGCTATGGTTGCATGGCATGCATGCGGTCCTACTGCATGCACGTAAATGCATGCATGCATGATCTCCTGTCTTGCTGTGTTTGCATAGACAAAGATGGCTTGGAAATTTTCATGTCTTGCCTGCATGGTATGCATGCATTTGCATGCAATGCATCATGTCATGCATGCGGTCATGAACGGTTTCTTGTTTTTGTTCTGCATGCATGCAACTTTCAAGATTGCTTGCAGCGGCATTGTATGCAGCACGGCAGCGGACTATGTTTTTGCACCAGCTCGCATTCAGGTCGGAGTGCATACTCAGAAAACTGCATGCATGGTGGATGCTCTGATCATGTATGGGCCCAGCAGACTCCTTTGACCGCCTCCATGCATTGAAAGCTGGAAATCTGCCAAGCAAGCGAATTATTCGGCATGCCCTTCATGCCTTCACTCCCTTCTCAGCCGCTTGGTCGGGCTGTCACTTGAAGCAGGGCCATTGCTGTCGTCGTCATCATTGGTGGCCAAACAATGTCGAAACCACTGCCACCACCAGATCCTGAGATTGCAGCTTGCATGCACTTAGAAGCATGGCATGATGAAACAAACTTCAGCCCAGGATCGTGACCCCTGCGAGATCGCTTCGCATCCAACACCACCTCCACTCAAACCTCCTAGGAAGAGGCGATCTGCTGCGGCCCGGGCTTTCATCGCGAGGAGGCATCGCGATCTACAGGGAGTTGCTTCAAGCAAAATGCTGCAGGCATCATGGAATGCTGAACCCTCCATAAATCAAAGATTGCATGCAAGCATGGATCAAGCAAAAATTCTTTGCATGATCCACAGGGCACGAGTGCCCTTATAGATGTGCCAAAGTGCACTGCTGCATTGAGCTGCACAATATTGCTCTGGTGATGCTTGCCCCCGCCACTTTCCTTCAGCAGCGGTGGGACATGAACATGCTCAAGTTTCGTGAAGAGGCAGGTGACCCCCAGATTTACATCATCGGTGCCGATGACCTGCTTTGCAGTGTCGTGTACAACAAAGCCAATGATGGCACACTGACCCTGTTGCCGCCTGCCTATTTGCGACCTCGCCATGCATGATGAAAATATGCAGCTGTGCTTATGTTTCTTTTGCAAGTGTCATGCTTGCCTTGCATGTGTTCATGCTTGCAGGTTGCATGCATGATTGTTTCGACTTTAGGCCCATCAACAAGAAATAATGCTTTCTTTGTCCATGCTTACATGCAAGAATCATGCATGTGCATGCTTGCCCTTGCTTGCTTCCGGCATGCATGACTCGTTCAAGCATGCATGAAGCTCATGCTGATCATGCATGCTTGAACATGGGATTGTGCTTGCCAAGATGCATGCATGCTGGCTCATTGCCATGCAGCACCATGTCGCCTTTCTTGATGATAGCACCATGCTTCAGCCTTGTCATGGTGCTTGTCATGCACTCATCCTCCTGCCGCAGGACATTGTACTGCACCAAGCTTTTCTTCAGCTTTGCAGTGCAAGCATGCGGCTGCAGCAAATGTGCCCGCAAATGGAAACCCTCTTCTTTGCCCATGACCGACAAATGCTCTGCAGTCACCTCTTCCAGAAGAGATGTGTCGAAACGAATCGTATTGCTAGAAGCCGACCCATATTTACGGGCGGCTTTCAAGGCCCAGCATGCAGGCAGAAATCCTTGTTTCTCGTAGCAACCATCCAAGTGGAGGGTCCAATGAAACTTCGGCCGCATCACTGGACCCCATCCTGCCTGCACCGCTTTTTCCAAGGCTTGCTCGCAAGCAAGGAGCAGTTGTCTGGACCGAAGTGGTGCTTGATTTTGATCGTTCAAGAGTTCGAGCACATGCAACCATGCTAGAAGCGATGCTTTCGCAGGCTGCACTTCTTCTTGCAGGCAGCATGTTGTGAAGTAGTGCTGCAATGGTTTCAACAAACCCAGAACTTCGGATGCAGTACACTTGAGATGACCTGTTTTTCTGTGGCTCTTGATTTTGTCTGCCGAAAACAAACTGCTCAAGGAGCCTTGTTTGTTGGCACCGGGCAACTGCCACAACTCCAAGTAGCCTGCGAAGGATTCCCACACATCGGCTTTGCCATGGTTTCGCCATGACTCGAATGCCCAACATATAACGAAACTGAGAACTCCGTTACTGGAAGACATGCACAAAGCATGCGGCGAAAATGTCCATCCACTTGCTTGTTGAAGCATTGCAAAGCGAGCCTTGCTTTCAGTTCCTGCCTTTGCTGCCAGCCGATCCCAACTCTGCAGCCATTCGCTGTCCGAGGCAAGGTCGCAGGAGGACAGGGTCAGGTGTCTGGAGCTGATCTTCCCCTCGTCGTCATCATCACCTTCACGTCTAACATTGAAAATGTTCTTGCAGAGCATGCAAACACGAGAACCGATGTCGTGGCGGTTTGCAAATGTTTGCTTCTGGGCACTGCCGTCTTGTAAAAAGACGTGGAGGGTCCAATGGAAAACAAACAATGCATCGGTTGATTTCATGACAATGCCATGCACCGGGTTCCAGAGCTGCTGTGCGAACATATCTTCCAAAATGAGTCTCAGGGTCTGGCCGATACCAGCTTCAACTTTTTGTACTAGTTCAGTTCTCAAGACCGCCAATGTAAACCAGTGTCGCTCCTCGGATAAGCCTTGCTGTTGTAAGTTCAACCAAGAAAAATATATGCACCAAATTTTGCGGCCAGTACTGGAAAGTTGATTGCCGGGATGAGCTTCATCAGCATAAAGAACTCCCTTCCATGGGCAGTCCAAGCTTGAGGGGTCTTGCATGTGCATGTGATTGAAACTTCCTTCCTGTATAACCCCTGGAGCATTGTTGGTAGGTTGAGGATATGAAAGTGCAAATCCCCACCATCAATTCGCACAGCTGTGAGCTGCTTGAGTAAAGACCCACAATCCCCAGCCATGGCGGCAATCTTCTCCAGAACCGCTTGCTTGATGTTCTTCCTTCCATGCAGCTCTGGCACTCCTTCCTGTTCCACCTTGTTCAAAATCGCTGCCAATGCCGAGCACGACACGAAGGGAATGCCTCTACGGAAAGCATCGAGATGGTCCAGCTTCTGCTTCTTGGAAGCTGAGCTGGAGGACTTAGCCATAAAGCGTGGCTTGTGATGATCCCTACCCTAAACTCAAAGACTTGGACAGCTGGGCATGTGACAACAACCTCATGCAGTTTTGCAATGCAAGCATGCAAGCAAGTGAGAAGCCAGCCCTAAGCGCTAGGAACAAGCAGCAACAGCCCTTTTTGCAGAAGGCTGGACATGTATAGTGCATGGAATCCCCTTGTGCTACCTTTTTCAGGTAGGTCGGATGCAACCATGCAAGGTCGCATCGAAAGCCCTCGGGCATAGAGCACTCTATGCACCTGTGTGTACCCAAACCCTGGGACCTGGATCAGTGCTTGGCCACCTTCTTCCGTTCCTCCATGTACTTCTTCCATTCGGCCCGACCGTTGAGTCGCACACCGGCGAACCCATCGAAATTGCAATTGTCGCAGCCATACACATTGCCACGGCATCTTGCACAGCCCCAGCAGGTGAGCCTTCCGTCCTGCTAGGCAGCCTTCTTCTCTTTGTTCATCGGGTGTTTCTCAACACACTTCGCTGCAGGCTTTTTGAAGAGCTGTGGCATCTTCTGATTGCAAGGCTTCCCATTCTTCTTCTCCTGCTTCGGTGCTTTCTTATTCTCCACTTGTGCCAATGCCTCTGCTTCGTACTGTTCCAAGCTTTTGCCTTCGTTTGCCCCTGGCACCGACTGCTTTTCCGGAGACTTGTTTTCCGGAGCATCGGCGGGGCTCTGTGCCGGTACGTGCAGTAGAGGAATTTGCAGGTGTCGGCAGCAACTGGAGCTGCCGGATCACCTCGTCCTTGGAGGGCATGCAACTCGAGGGGCATGACTGCTTGAGTGCAGCTTGTCTGGCTTCCTCCTCGGCAAGCTTTTCTTTCATGGTCTCCAGCCAAGTCTTTTGCTGCATGGCATGCATGGACATGTTGCAAGCAAGCTGATTGGAACCCTGAGAAGTGCCTTTGAGCAGCCGGCTGGTGGTGCGGATTGGGCACGACTTGGACAAGACATGCAGCTGTGGCAGCTCTGCACAGCTGGGGTGAGAACCTATGCAGGCTTTGGCAATCCAATCTGGTCCCAACTCTCGAGGATCGTCTGGATATGTCCGGAAGGCAGGCACATCACTCTGTACGTTCAGGCTGTGAAAAACGTCCTGGAAGTCAGTCGCTAATTTGTAGATTTTGTCTGCATCTGGTTGTTGGGGATTCTGCCAAAGATGGGCTTGCACATGCAAAGTGACACAGGATTTCTTCGTACATTCTTTGCGGCTCGTCAACCCAATCACCCGAAGCCGTCTGGCAATGAGGATCGGGGCGTCCTTGATGTCACCTTGCATAAGCTGCACGATTTCCTCTTTCGTCAAATAAGCCACTGGGTTCTTCAGTGTCTGCGGAACTTTGACGAGCTTGCAGCCACCTTCCGTGCTGCCACCTGAAGCATTCTTCAAAAGAGCATCACTCAATGCCTTTTTTGTATTTTCGTCCAATCCAGACTGTTCCACAGACTGGAGCATGTTCACATACTCCCCTGCCGGCAAACTGTCGGCAGTCACGACCTTCTTTTGCAAGACATTCAAAAGACTCGCCTGGAGCTGTGGATTCGGAGAGAAGCTCAAAAGCTTCTGGACATCCGAAAGCTCCTTGGCAAAGTCCTTGCTGCCCCAAGCAATTGCCATGAGTCCAAGGACCCAGGACCTAAATGATTGGGGCCTGTGCTAGGAGCCTGAGCCCGTAAGCTTGCCACCAAGGGCCAGAACACGAACAATTAGCAAGTTTTAGGCGTCCCAAGTATAACTCAATCAAAACACGCTGCTTATTGAAACCTTTTCAGTACCGCAGTCCTCGAGAAGCTTATGCTCCTTCACCTCACGCCAAACCCTAAACATGAGACCCTCCAGGCCCTGAACCTCCAAGCAAAGCAAGATACCTACGCTAGATGGGTGGCGTTTCTTTTGACGCCGTTCTTGGTTCCTGGTTTTTCACCTTTAGTTTGATTTTTCGCTGAGTCACCATTTTTCCACTTTTACTTTTTTCGCTGCTTTTACAGTTTTACCCTTTTCGCTGCGTGGCGCGTTTTTACGATTTTACGGTTTTTCGCTGTTTTTACAGTTTTACTCTTTTCGCTGCGTGGCGCGTTTTTACGATTTTACGGTTTTTCGCTGTTTTTACAGTTTTACGCTTTTCGCTCCGTGGCGCGTTTTTACGATTTTACGTTTTTTCGCTGTTTTTGCTGTTTTACTTTTTTGGCGCAGAAAATTGTTTTTACAATTTTACGTTTTTCGTTTTTACCTTCGTCCGTTCCGCGGCGGAAATACATCCGATCCTGCAATTTTTTACATTTTAACAGTTTTACATTTTTCGCCCCTGAAGTTGGGCCATCTGGTTTTTACATTTTTACATTTTCACCGTTTTACTCGCTTCCTCCGGTCGAAAATATACTTTTCGATTTTTAGTTTTTACGTTTTTCGCTGCCGATGTGCGTCCGGACTCCTTAACTGTTTCAACAACACTAAGCCAGCACAGCATTTCCGGTAAAGTTGGAAGTGGTAATGATCATGCAAAAGAACCCTATAGTGCGCTCTCATACATTTAGCCCCTACACTGCCACGCAGCTGTAGGATGCTGTACTTGATGCATGGCTTTCTGAGCATAGTAGGGCAACGCGCTCCCACTTACAGAGAACACCCTGCGACGGGCTTGCCGGCCAGCTGCCTAGGAACGCAGGCCATCGGAAGGTCTGTGGAGTTTAAAGGCCATTTTGGAGAAGCTCGTGTTCCTCTCTAGGCAGAACCTTGCTTCATCTCAAGCATTAGCCCTTGCTTTGACGGTGAACCCAAACTCCTGAACCCAAGCCAGAACTATGCCTCCATACCTCTTGGAGTTTTCATTTCGTCTTGTGGAGTGTTTGTGGGTTTCTAGCCACCCCCCCCACAGCCTCAAACCCTCAACAAGCCTTAACCCCAAACGCTACACCCCAACAGCCTTGAACATTCCCAGCACACTAAATCCCTGACCCGAAACCTCAATAGCTTGGAGCACTCAGCCTCTAAAGGCTCAGATCCCACATCCTAAACCCCAAACTAACCCTCACACCCCGCAGGATGTGGTTTGGTAGCCCCCGCTGCCGGGAAAGCGAAGTCTTGGCTTCGGGCCTCGTAGCTGTGTGCAGCCGGGCGGAACTTAGGGGCTTTTCCCCTAAGTTTAGGGCTTCAAAGGTTTAGCGACTTCGGGGTTCAGGGTATTGGAGCAAGCACGCCCGGAAGAGTGCAGGGCTGTACATCATGGTTCCGGGTTTTGAGGTCTCTGGGTTTGGAAGGTTAGGGGGCGTTTTGGGTGTAAGGGGGTTACTAGGGCTGTCGAGCTGTAGGGTTTAGACTTCGGGGATCTGCATTGCGAGTTTCCGTTTCGATGCATGCTCCTTTGCCTTGTAGGAACCTGTTGTAAGAATCCGTCGTTTCTGGATCCCGCTCAGTCACAGCAAGCCATTCCTTGACGACACTGTTTCATGGCAGGTCTAGTTCATGCATGTTGCATAAAAGCTGGCAGCACTTTGAACTTCCGACTGCTGTTCTGGGCATGCGCGTATGGGAACAAGAATGCAAGCAGAAACACGGCAGCAGAGTCTGAAATTCTGAAGTGTAGCGAAAGGTCATCGGACAAGTTCTCCCCTGTGGCCATGGCTGCTGCTGTGGATAAAGATGAAGCTTGGGAGGAAGATGAGGAGTGGGAAGAAGAGGATGAGGATGATGATGAGGAGGAAGATGAAGAGTGGGAAGAAGAGAATGAGGATGAGGAGGAGGAGGAAGAAGAAGATGGAGAGTGGGAAGAAGATGAGGAGTTTCAGGAAGACGAGTGGCCGCACAAAGCTGGTGAATGGGAAGAGTCATCGACGGGCGAAGATTCGGAACATGGTGAGACCGAAGAAATAGGTCGCTTGCAGAAGTGGTTTCACAAGCCGATAGGCTCGTTTGGTTTCATTGAGTGCCTGAATGCACGTGACAGCGTTTACGTCTATGGCCATGTCTTGGTCACCTCTCTTGGCATCTCATACGAAGACGTGCCGCATTATTTTGGCCGGTTTTTGAGCTTCACGATGATTCGAAACCACCGCGGCTGCAAGGCCTCGGAGCCAATTGAGCTGCTTCCTGAGGGGTTCGAGGGCAAGGAGACCCTCAACGCTGAGTTCGACAATAGAAGGAAAGAGAGATGGCAAAGGATCAAAAAGATAATGAATCAAGAGCATCGTGAAAAGGACCAGCAGTGGAAGCAGTTCCAAGAAGGACGGCATATGGCCTTGTGTGGCATAGGGCCATGAGAAACATAATTGCAACAAACATGAAGATTGACAGTGACAGGTGCTATACTAGTTATTAGTAGTCGATGGAACGACAATGGAGCAGTGTAGCAATGCTTTCATTTCCGCCGCAACATGGGCCTTCGACACTCTCATACCTTAGCCGATCTTACCACGAGGTGTTTGTTTTGATCCTTTCCCCCCTGAGGACGCGGTTTGGGGAACAGGAAGCGCTTAAAGCACTTGTGCCATATGCTGAAGATTTCCAAAAGCACGGTTGTCAAAGGCTCCGCGGCTGAAGAGGCCATTCGGTTTGTGGTGGCTTTTGCATTAATCTTCTTCTCCTAAGTATGGACAACAGAACAGTTCTTCTGCTTCTGTAATCTTCTGTAGACCCACAAATGCTCATGTTGACCATCAGTCGAGCCAGCATATCAGGTTATCCAGCGCGCAAAATTACAGCAAAACACATTGAAGGAAAGACAGCGCAGCTTTACCAGCTGAAGAAGCCGGTGAACTTCAAGCGCATGCACGGCGGCCACGTGACCTCCAGCTACGTGGCTTTGGGACATGGGGGCGAGGTCTGGTCTTACCAGCAATATTGCAGGTTTACAGGAAAGGGAAAGGGCAATGGGAAAGGGAAAGGGAAAGGGAAAGGGAAAGGTGAAGGGAAGGGAAAGTCAAAAGGGTCAGGGAAAGTCACAGGAAAAGGCCCAGGAAAGGGCAAATGCAAACACAAAGGAGGCTCTACAGGCAAAGGGAGTAAAGGTAAAGGCAAGGCTTGAAAGGCCTGATACGAACAGGCGGCACAGGGCACTGTCAGCTACAACGGAGCTTGCCTTTCTTCTCGACCGAAGCACTGACCCTGATCTGCTCGTGTGTGGGCCCAAATGTCGGTTTCACGTTGTCAGGGGCGAAGATGGGTGGGTGACGAGAGTGAGCTGGGTCTCCGAAGCCCCGATCCGTGTGGCTTCATGCCATCCTTGTTAAGACATACACGTACTTTCATCTGGCAACGCTTGTGGCATCCGAGAGACCCGGGCCTTGTGTCACCAGCTCTTGATTCAGCAGCCCGAGAGATCTATTCGGCAGCCCCATGTCTTTGCCGCTCGATAGTTGGAAGAGAAAGACTTATATCACCATAGACAACTGTGCTCCCACCCCACAGCCTCTTAATCCCGAAACCCCACGCAGTCAAAACAGAGTGAGTATGTATTGAATAGTAGAGGACGGAGAAAGGGGTGGGCCCAGGCTTCCGCCTTCATCAAGCCCTAGGGTTCAACTGGAGTGCGGCTTCTTGCCAAGCAGATGCTGCACAGGTGACTGGCGCTGTCATGGCTTTTAACCGCCGATACACCTAGCCTTTCAATGCCGGGTGTGAAAAGATGTGATAACCCGATGTGTAACAGTAGAGTACATGGAATGAGTCCCGGAAAGCTTGCGGAAGTTTTGCAAGTTCATTGTTTCCGACCTTGCTATCACACCATTAAGTTTCATTAATTCTTGTTGAGGGTCGTTCTGCAAGATCTTGCTGTCGTGTCACAGTCTGTGAGGCGAGAACAACGCAATGACCCCGAAGCTGCGTGATGTCGTAAACGCTTCTGCTTTTGTTGAACCGTACCACACGGTACAATCCCATGTGGAATCTCGGTGAAATGGTCAGCAGTGGCGCTTCCCGAAAATGTGTGTGAGGTCACGACTCACAAGGCTCAACGGACTCTGGAGTCTAGATGATATAAGGACCAAAAGCTTACCAGCACCATGTTGGGGTTCCTTATGCCCCGAAGCCGTATTCTGTCTGGTAGCTCTTGTATTCTGTTGCGTGGTATTGGCGAGCCCCAAACTAAATCGGGAGTCGCGAACCCGTGAGCCCGGTCCTGGGTGGCAGGAGTCGCGGATACGGTCCTGGCAGTAATATTCCTCGGTAGTGCTGTAAAGCTACGCTGTAATATACCCCAAAATCCTATTTTATTTCTTCGGTCCTTTACATTTATTGCCATCTCCGTGGGAGCTGGTGTTTCGTGGCAAGCTGAAGCCAAGTGTCAAGCGTCAAGAGGCCAAGAGGTCCTGCTATGTCCTGCTGACATCACGCAAAGCACAATGCACAACCGACACCCCAAACCTTAAACCCTATGCCCTATATACAACCCTGACACAAAACTCTAAGCCCGAAGCCATAGCCATAAAGGCTTTCTGGATTCCAGGCATCCTCTATGGGCTCCTGCCCATGCTGTTCTACCGAGAATCTCTGGACGCATGGCCGCAAAGTCTCAAGGTTCAGGGAGTATGTAGCTTGGGCTTCATGGATCAGGGTTTCAGGCATTCAGGATTCACGATTTCGGCTCGGGGCGAATCTTGCGATGTAGGCCTAGGCCTTCACTGTGTAACGCCGGTAAAAGGTTCTTAGATGCCAAACTCAAATTCTAAACCTTTTTAACCGGACCCATGAACTAGTACCCCTTCATTATCCCCTCAACCCCTAAGCCTTCAACCCTAGCGCACTACATAAAGCCTAAACCCCCCAGAACCCCCCAATCCTCAACCCCAAGCCATTAAACCCTCCACCCCGAACCCCAAACCGTGCACACCCTGAGCCTCCCGAAAAGCGTGCCAGAGGACCACTGCGTCTGGCCGGCTGGCGGTGCTATCCTAGCCGGCTTCGCGCTTTTTCAGTTCGATCCCCTAGGTCAGGAGTGTGGGATTTCGGGTTTGGTCTAGGAGTCTATGTCATGCGATCGGGGGAGTTGGGTGCAGGATTCTGAACCTGCACGGGGCGGGGGGTGGTGAGGGAAAGAGTAGACAATCGGACTTTGCGCTGTGAGGGACGGACTCTGTTTACGGTTTAGGAGTTTAGGGTACTTGAACACTTTGAGTTCGGAGCTTTGTTGTTTGCACTGCACGGCTGTATCGGTGTTACAGAGAGGTTTCGCTTTCTGCCAAGCTAAGGCCCGAGCTACACCCTAAATCGTACAACAGTAGTACAGTAGTAGTACAGTAGTAGTACAATAGTAGTACAGTAGTACACTGGTAGTATAGATGCCAGACTTATTGTAAATCCCAAGCCCAAACCTTTCCAGCCCTTCGAGGTCGATTCACGGCTGTTGCACCCGAAGAAAAAGTGGGCCTTCTTCCTCCGTTAAAGCGACCCTGCAGAGGTGTTTGGACAGATTCCGTCTGGCACCTCGTTCTCATCCCATATGCCCACTTCTGCTCGCTCTCTGCCGTGCGAATGGACCAGCGGCTCTTTGGGCATTGCCTGAGCTCCTCCTAGCTTCGCAGATGGGCATGTGTCCGAATCGCTGTAGGCACTAAGCATCCCCATACCGTAGATGTGTCCGACTCGGGGGCTCCTCTCGTTCGTTTGGTGATCTGACACATGCCCAGGCCTTTTTTCACCATGCGGCAAAAGGTCGCCATTGGTTTTCTACCGGAAAAGTAGCGCGTGTATTGGCAATTCAGGAGCGGCATCAGGAGATTGAGAAGGCTGTGCTAAGTTCTGGTAGAGGGGAGGTTTGTCCCGCCGGTGCGTGATGGGAGTAGTTGCTTGATATAGACATGCTGGACTGGTTTACGCTCGGCGCTGGAATAGTTACGGCACTAGCGGCAGTTTTCGTGAAACCCTGTTGGCCCTGGAAGGCGTTGGGGCAGAGCCCTCCACCCCCACTCGTGGCGAGCGGGGACCTCGTCTCTGCTTCGTAGAAAGGCTTCCAGTGAAGGGTGTAGTACTGTGCAAATTGCCCAAAACCAAGGCTGCTCCAGCCTGGTGGATGCCGAGATGTAAATCAGATAAATCCAGAATGGTGGGTTGACTGATTGCGGCAGGTGATTTTTTTGTGTCATCCGCAGCAGTATACTCCTTAGCTTGGGTACGCAGGTTGCGCGCTGCTAAGTTGACGGCGTGCTGGTCGCACCATGATGCTGCAGCTGCTGCTGCTGCTGATGATGATGATGATGATGATGACAACGACCGCCCTCATCACAGTGGGCACAAAAACGATACTGCTGCGATTGGTGATGATGTCGATGATGTTGTTGCCGCAAATGCCGCTGGCGGTGTCGATGCCGATGTCGGTGCCGAGGCTGATGCCGATGCCGATAGCTGTGTCTTTTCAGATGCGATGCCGGTGCCAATAGTTGTGCCGATGCGGATGCCGGTGCCGGTGGAGATGTTGATGCTGATGGGCATGGTGCTTAGCTTACGATGCCGACGACACTTGCACGGACGACAGCGACGACGACTGACCTCCCTAAATCTTGCAAAGTCAACATTCTCAAGGCACCAACACCACCGGCATCCCTGCAGGCCACTTGAATCTGCACCTCGCACTCTAAGCCTCCACGCAGCGCCCAAAGAACCCAAAATCCTTGCGAAAAGCACGGTGCACGGCTTTAGGCCTGGCGAAGGCCTTGGAGACCCTGGCGCCTCTGGAGTTGTGCGCGGCTCTTCGGTGCGGGCCTGAATTGAAAGCGTCCATGCAGAATGTTTAGGGTTTAGGGTTCGGGTTTCGCCGGTAGAGTGTGTCTGGGTTCCGGGTACATACGATTTCTCAATATACGCTCTCAGAACTATCACTATCAGCGCTGATGACGAGGATGACAGTGACGAGTGTTTCAGGACTGTTTCCAGGTAAACCTCTTCGTGCTTCTTCGCCTGCCGGTGTTGGTACTGGGTGCCCTTGTATTCATAGATGGGAGTTTCCGAAAATAGGGGACCCTAATATAGTATTTTAAATAGTAGGATCCTTATATTAAAAAGACCCCAAAGTAAGGTACCCCTAACTTTCGGAAGCTCCCGGATGTAGTCGGGCTCGCAATGGAGTCGGCATGTGTCGTAGGCCTCAGACTCGCATTTAGTGACAAGGAGTAGCAGGGCAAAGCAAGAAGTGGGTAGACAAGAATATGCACAAACAGTCATGAGTCATGTACATATTTATATATGTTTGTATACATCTATATATAAAATGTTTGAGTAGGTACACACATGTATACATATATATATACACATACATATGTAGACATTTATATACACGTAGCAATAGCCAGAGTAGTCGCAAAGAAAAAACAATTCCTAGCATATATATATATATATATATATATATATATATATATATATATATACGAACCTGAACAGCTAGATGAAATACAAGAATCAGAATCAGAATCATTTTCTCCAAGATCCTATTCCGCTCCGTCCGATCACTTGAACGCGCCGTCCAAACTGCAGAGTGGTTACAAGGGCAGCCCCACGGGTCTAATGAAGGCAGTTCGGTGGTGTTATGGGATCCCGGCTGTTTGCCACAGTAACGGGTTCGAGTCCTCCCAGCCGCAGAAGAAGCGAGGCGGTTGGGGTCTGTGGCTCAGACCAGCTGTCCTCAACCAAATTCTCACGTGACCAGGTAATCCAGGACTTCATGTGACAGTTCCTGCACTCAACTAAACATACTTGTACCCCGCGACAATACATGATGGTTCCTTTCAAGGGGGCTGCATCCTGGGTTAAGTAAGAGTCCACTAGATCATCAAAACAGGACTGTAGTTCCGAACAGTGAGTGCAGCACTTCCGGAAATCAAGTAGGAGCACCCCCAAAACACAGAAAAATCCTAAAAACCCAACGCCCAAAGCCCTGCAAACGACTGAAAGCCCCCCGAAGCCAATCCTAAACCCTCAACCCTCAGGCCGCTTACCGCCCAGAGCGTGAAAGCATCAGGAGGCCAGAGCTTTTTAGGCTTTCGGGTTTAGGGGTTTATAGGGGTTTAGGGTTTAGGATTTAGGGTTTAAGGGTTTAAGGGTTCAGGGTTCAGGGGTTTAGGGTTCAGGGGTTGGGTCCTCTTTGTCCTCTTGGGAAAGCAGATGCTTTTGAGCGAGTGAGTATGGAAGGACATTGGGCGCAAACATAGCGTGCGAAGGTTGCTGGTAGGGCCACCAAGACTTCAACAATAGCAGCAGTCCTATTTAGTGGTCTTTGCCGGTGGCAATGCTCTTCGCAAGTGGTTCAGGGCACAGCTTTGTCCGAGACACAGGACTATGTTTGCTGGCAGTCTTATTTTTTTCGTTGCGTACGGCACGAGTGGAGGACTAAGGTTAAGTGCGTGTGTTTGTGTCTGTCTGTCTATCTGAGTATCGTTGCATGTATATTGTGTTTTCTCGGGTGGGCCTTTGCTCAACGGAATAGCTAGGCACTGGGCTGCCCCTTGGACCCCAACCCGAAATCCGACTGCCGCAAATTCCCGGCCGCCCGCGACTCAGTGTCCCAAATGCCAACGTGCCGAAACTCAACAGTCCCCCGAGACCGAACCAAACACCAAATGTTCTAAATCTTAGAGCTGGAGAACTCAAAGCCCTAAAGCTCTAAAGCCCTAAACCCTAAACCCTAAAACCCTGCCTCAGAACGGGCAACCTACACCGCAGCGGCCACCCGGGCCATGGCCCTGCTAAAAAGCTCGCGGCAGGTGCTTCGGCCATGAGGTCTAATATCGAGGTCTTTGAATCATTACCTATACTATTGTAGGGGCTTCTCATTACAATTAGAGTATAATGGGCCCCAAAACCCTATTCTAATGATTGAGGCCCCTATATTATGGGTTCGGGTTCAAAGAATGTGTGTGGGCTGGAGTTCGGGGGTGCGGTGCACTTCATGGGCGAGCGTTATGTTTCGTAGAAGTCTTTGTTTTGAGGCTACGAGGGCTCTGGTTTAGGCGCCGTGTCAGTGCAGCTTTTGCTTCAGCCGGGAACTTGGGGACTGCAGTTTGGGCACAGGAGCGTTTCGGCGTCCTCGAAGCCAAAACTTATTTGTCGTTGTGCAGGCAAGTAGGGACTGCACAGTCATCGTGGGAAGACTTAGGACTGCCGTCGAGAACGTCTTCACCACGACAAGACTTGACAAACAGGTACTGCAGCAATAGTCGTGACGACCACATTACGACGATTGGCAAGACCATCGAAGCTATCAGATCACGAATGGTAACTAGACCCTCATCGTCAGCGCCATCAGCAGCAGCATCATCGTCATCGTCGTCGTCATCCTCATCCTCATCCCCATCCCCATCGCCCCCTAAAGCTTCAGCCCAAAGCCCCAAACCTGTAATCCCAAAGACAAGCGCATCTTGCAAGCCAGGCCTGTAGCGGTACCCACCCTTACTACGACGGCGGCGCTATTACATCTAATGATCCTGACGTTAAGCCCATTTCGCAACCCAGGCATGGGAATTAGAAGGCTTGTGCTGGTGGCTCAGGGGGTTTATGCCGGATGATTTGGTTGGGCATGTCGGGATTTGAAGTTTGGGGGTTGTGGGCTTTCGGTTAGGGCTTCAGGCATTTGGCAGGGCGCCAACAAGGAGCCACCAGGCCCGCAAACCCCGAAACCTCGACTCCCAAACCCGAGAAAATTCGGAGGTTCGGTAAGGGACAGGGGTATCGATTTCAAGGGCGAAAGGGATGATTCGGTTGAGGGCTGAGGGCGAGGTTAGGGTTAAGGGGCAAGGGTTTCCCAAACCCTACCCAAACTTGCCGCAAACGGACGACCGCAGTAATTAGGTTCTGGTGTTAGGGTTTCGAGAAGCCAGCCAGGAATAGTCTAAAGCAGAGCCGGTTGCTTCACGGGCTTTCGGAAGGAACCCCTCAACTGAAGCAGGGCAAGGTTTAGGGTGACTAGTGTGGATCTCTGTTTGTGTACATCCCACGACTCCAGTTCCCTCCCAGATCGGTAACCCTCATCTGCAGACTGCAGCGATTCAGGCAAGAACCTTCGGCTAGACATCGGTGAGGCAAGGTGCACTTCATTTGACCTCTTTGGGTCGTAGATCGCAGAAGCAGCCTCAGTAAGATGGAGTGTCTGTTCCGTCAGCAAGTCTGCAGTCGCGATGCTAAACCTGCGCCGAAGTGGCTTCGACATCTGTGCGAAAGCAGACAGGATCTCTAATCCAGCTGATCCGAAACTATACTAACTAACAAGCAGCCGCGATCTAGTATTGGCGTCCCAAAGCAGTCAAACTATATGGAGCCCCACGTCGCCCTCACAGTCATCCTATCTTTCATGCTTCTGCCACGCTTCTCCACCCCGGACAGTTGCAGGTGAACCCAGACGACGATCTCTTCACGGAGGAGTCTGGGTAGCATGTGAAATTGATCCACATTACACTGTGCGTGCCTGCGCTCTGTGGAAGTACATGTAAAACCGGCATCTCTGCTACTTACGACCATGTTACCAACATGTTCGGTGGTGTTGTGGCATCTGCCTGAACTCCTCTGTTGGCCCCCTATAGTTCCACACGAAGCCTCCCAGGAGATGCCCGGGCAGTCGCAGATGCGATAGCGGCAAAAATTAGCCTCGCTGCATCTCGCTTCGGTTTCATGGCACCAAGCTCCCCGACTCTCTCTCTCTCTCTCTCTCTCTCGCTCTCTCTCTCTCTTTCGCCCTCCCTCCTTCGCGCCGTCTCTTCAACATGTGGAGTTCTGCAGCTGTCGGCATCCATAGTGCGGCTGACCACCAGAATCAGGGTTTGCAACATGCGGAAAGTTCTTGACACGGGGGTTCAGCGTCCTTATCGTAGCTGCATGGGCATTTCTGAACTTTGAACAAGCATAGCCAACCTCGGCAGAAGAGCGCGATGCGGCGGTGGCTAGTCGCTCGGATGCGGCAGTTGGCAAGGGAGCTTCAACACTTACCAAGCCCCTACCGTCTTTCCGTGGTTTCGTCGGATTCTGAGCACCGGCGGCTCGCACATTCAACTGACTAATCCGTGATAAACCCTCAAGCCGAAGGCCAAAATAGCCCTCAGTTGAAGCCCTCTAAGAAAGGCCATCAGCCGGCCATGTACTACGAGGGTTCTGGGCGGGTGCACCTGGCCACGAGCTCAGTTAACTCGCATTGCAAGTTCTTGTTCGAAAAGCCGTCACACCCCAATTAGACCAGCAGCCTGAAGTTCTCCATCCTAAACCTACGGATTAGTCGTGCTTCGTCTTGGCACCCAGGCTGTTTGAGAAGGCCTCAGTAGAGTTAGCTAAAGCTGAAACCCCGCAACCATTCCCTGCACGATCCAAAGGCATCCGAGCATCGGAGTCTTCGCACAGCAGCGGCTGTTCTCCGCGCCCTTCCGTGGGCCAGTGCTGCATTCTCAGCATGTCAAGGGCAACAGTGATCTTTGCAAGGTTGTGGTAACAGTCTCGTGTGTGATGAAAGCAGTGGTGATGATGTAAGAGTATGCAGCCAGATGGTAGTTCGTAAAATGTATTGCTTACTATTGTCCCGTGATTTCAGGGCAGCGCGTGGACTGTACTGTTTCGGTGTTGCCAATCATGACTCTGCAGCACAACGACATGAATGTACCTCCTCCATCAAACAGTCGATTATGTATTGTTGTTGCTGGCCCTTCCCCAAATCCGAATCTCTAGACCGTTCCCCCGTTTTCCATCCTGAAGCAGGTCCCGATTCCTTTTGGTCAGAAACCCGCGACTTTGCAAAGAACCCCTAGCTGTGGGCGCTACGAGGCAGGGTCACATTGAGGAGCGCCTGGCCTCTGAGCTGAGGCCGTTGCATCTTGAGGCCTTGGTAACCGGGAAATCGGGACTTAGGTTTGTGGGGTTTGGGTTTAGGTGTGTGTTCACGTGAGTGGTGTAATTTTGTGGAGCGATGTGGAGTGGGCGATTTTTTGGCTCATGATCCCAGGTCGTGAGCGTTCAGCTCTGCAGGTCATGCATTTTCAGAGGTTTAAGGGTTTAGAGAGCGAGGGTTGACAGGTTCGGTAGGAACATCGGGCCGCAATCGTATTGTCGTTTGGGGGTCTGGGGCCTTGCCCGACTCTGCACCGAATCATCATGTGGAAAATCATGCGACGTCCAGACCAGATCTTTTTGGACTGTGCTGCAAGCCGCTTTTGTAAGGAAAGCATTCCAACGGGGGCAGTCGAGAATGCCTGCATCTTTTGCCTTGCTTTGGACTCAAGTCGAGGTCTCAATTCGCAGTAGATAAAAGTATAAGTGCGCAGGTAAAGCCTTGGATATAAACTCAAGCTGTCCCAGTCAGGTGGTGAACGAATCGCATGGAAAGAAGAGTGATGAGTCTCACTTCCACGTGCTGATCGTCTCGGAGGCCTCTGATCACTCACAGCCAGTGCAGCCAGTGTTTGTGTCCGCGTTCGTCTTTGTGTTAGTCTTACTGTTAGTGTATGTTAGTGTTCTGGTCAGTGTATAGTCGTCGTCGTCCTGATCGTAGTCGTGTGCGTAGTCGCTGTCGAGGTCATAGTCGTGGTAGCAGTCGTAGTGGTACCAGCGCTAGGACGGAGTAGCCGGTGTAACAGCAGCAGCACCCATGATGCACTGTCGTCTTGGAATAATCATCATCACCCTTTATGCTATCACACATGTATGATCGTGTATGTGTACATGGCTCTTCACGCATATTTAATTTGTATGTAACAAGTAAGAAGTATGATGCCACGCAGGCATTCGAGGGCTTAAAGCCCCTGGCGAGACATCGTTTGGTGAATGGCCTTTTCACGCGTGAGGTGCGCCGAAGTTGCGTCTTCGGTTGGGTAGTTTCGGAGATGCAGGTCTCCGGCGTGTGGGCGATTCATGGAGTACAGGCACGCATTGGGGTCAGTGAGGCTATTTGCCGAGGTGGTGGTCGGTAGCTATACTATCGTACATGAGGACACCACTTCGGCATAATCACATCAACAAGCTCATTTTTGACATTCCCATGCCGTGTCGCCGAGGAGCTGAAACCGGAACTCTATAATGCCCTATCCTCGAGCTAATCCTCACGAGGACGGTTCCCTGAAGTTTCACTCTCTGCGGATCACAGCCAAGACGCCGGCCATGTGGGAGGAGGCCGTCGTTGGCCTTGAGTTTCAGGTTTGGGGATTTCTTGTTTAGGGTTTTGCTCGGAAGCACGTTTCAATGAAGGATCCCTTGTTCAGGAGCCATGGAATAAGTTTTAACATACCTTGCCTATTTAGGCTATTGGCACCGCACATATACTAACCCTAACCTAAACCCTAAATTCTACAAGACCCCCCTTGCCTGTTTGTGGGCTATGGCACCAAGGTAGGGTGCGGGTATTGGGGTTTCTAGAGTGTGAATAGGAATTTTTCATATTGTGATCTTAGGTTGTGAAGTGCGGTGGTAGTGTTTTTCTATGAGGTGGACTTTGCCTATTTTCGGGTGGTAGATCAGGCTGTGGATCAATGGTTGCCGTTGGGGGGCAAGTGGGCTGGTTTTGGTGGAAAAGGTTGTGGAACAAGGCTTTCGGGGTGCAGTTCTTAAAGGGCTGGTGAAGGAGGTGGCAAAATCTGTTGAGATCTTGAGGGGAAAACGGTGCGATTTTTTGGGGCGATGGCTGTTGGTGTGCTCCTTGAAAATGGGACGCTAAAGATTTGGACGCTTGGGGGCGAGTGGCTGGCTGGTTGAAAATGCGAAAATGAGGTCTGAAAAGTTGGAAAATGAAAAATTGATGGTATGTTCGTTGAGAAAATATTTGGTGATTCAGGGGTGTGGGGGATGAAGTGGTATGCTGTTGGAGAAAGTAGTCGGGGAAAATGAGTGGAAAATGGGATTTTGGTGTATAGGGGGCTATATGTGCGGTGCCAATAGCTTAGGCAAGGTATGTTCTATCTGAATATATGTGTGGGCCATGAGCCGGCAGGCAAGTTTAAGAATATTTTTGCATAGTCTGTAATGTAATCCTTGACTCATCCCCTTGACGTCAGCTAGATAAACAGATAGCGTAAAGCTAGTCTGCGTTGTGCTTTGGGATAATTTCTAATTTCCCTTATTACCTTACAAAGGGAACCTAATCATAAAATAGCTTTCAAAGGGTTTAAATGTAAAGATGAAGATCGATAAGTCAACTGAGACCCTGCTATCCTGAAGCCTGCGACTTCCTACGATAAGAACCTTTCACTCCAAACCCCAAACCCTCAAATCCCGGACTCTAGGTTTAGGGTTTAGGGTCGGGGGTTCAGTTGTGTGTTCAGGGGAAGCCCAAAGCCCAAAATCCCACGACATGCCCTAAGTCCTCACCCTGCCGCTATCGGCAGGATCAGTCGTCACTGTCAAGGCCGAAGTGCACCGGCAAGGGCGATGGGAGGACGGCCACGGACCCGAGCAGCCTCTGAAAAAAAAACGGGAAGTGGGCTGCAACCTTCCTTTCTTAAGTGATATTGGGTTTACGACTAACGCTTTCAAGAATAATGTGACCACGATCCTAGTTACTGCAGGATCGGAGTCAACATTATCACAAAAAAAGCTTTCTACAGGCTCAATCAGTCCGTAGCCAAGCTTTAAGTGGAGGACTCGGTGGGGAAGATCTTCTTGACTCGCCATCTTGGTCCTCAGACGCAAAATCCTAGACCATAAACTAAACCCCGACGCTCCGCAAACCTACATACCCTTGACACGTCATATTCGTTGTTATGTTGCGACAGCTTTCGTGCCCAACCCTCAACACCTACGTGCTTCTTGATGATTATGCTACTGCTGCATTGTCGGATCGTTTGTTCTCATCGGGACGCTTCTCTTGTCTAGGTTGTCCATCTTCTTATGCCGGTATGAGCCTGAAACCATAGATGGCTTGGAGGCCAGCTACATAGACCAGTGAAGCCATAAGTTCTTACTTCATGGGTCATGGTTAAGTGCAAAAGCTGCCCACAGCCCGACTCGCGAACAACCATGATCCTGGGAATCGTAAAGTATGTTAGATGAGGCGAATAGGGAACGAAAAGGGAAGATGGTATAAATTGCAAATGATCCTTAAACCCCTTGACTCGTCTGATCTGCCGCATTGAAGGGTCTGAGCTCCAGGCTTGGCTCCCAGTGTCAGAAACAGGTTAAGGGCGTGTCCAGAAGAGGACGACAGTGACGACAATCGATGCTGAAGAAAAAAAGCGGTGGCAACGAAGTATGACGATGATGATGAGCACACCAATGCTGACAAACACCACCACCACCACCACTACATGGTGCAAGCGAGGTTGTTGAAGATGTGTTCCTTTGTTGTTGTTTTCCATTCGTCTTCGTGCCATTGTTTCTACAATGTTCTCTAAGACTCTACATTCGGCACAGAGCCGCTGCGGCCATGGTGCCTTGTTGCTCCGCACGTGCGCGCAGCCCTGAGCCTTTGGCTACAGCGCGCCATATCGAGTGAGTCTTGCATCATTGTGTCAGTTGTGAAGTCTACAGCGCCAAGCCTCAGCATGCCGGGTGTTTTGCGTTTTCGTGCAGGGGCCGTCGGAACCCTTACCACATCCTTCTTGCACTGCTGAGTCGGCATACTTTGTGACTTGGGGACTGCAGATGTTGTCTTCACTTCTGCTGCAGGCCTATGCAATCGTTGTCAACCACACCCTTGAACGAAAAAAGAATTCCATGCGACCTAGAAGTCCCCAGCCCACGAGGGCCTGCACTTGGAGGCCCTCGGAGATTTCTGTAAGGCTGTCGAGTGGGACTCAGAGTGTGCGGAGGCCTACAACAAGCGAGGCATCCCAAACCCAGAATGCTTTAAATCGAAAATCCAACCCGCGGCCCTCGAACCCTAAACGTCTAGTATTAATAGCAGTAATAGTATTAATAGTACCAATAGTATTAATAGTATTAATAGTATTAATAGTCTAAGCCCACAACCCCGAGCCCAAGTCGAGACCCGAAACGCCAAGGCACAAGGCCCGACTGGTGATTTCTGGAGCTTCTGTTTCAGTCTTAGCGCTGCGGAAGAGCTCCACGCGTTGCAGAAAGCCCAGCCGGTGAAAAGAGAGAGGGGATTCATGGGATGCGAGCTTTCTACACTTAAGGTTTTTTTGGGACTTGTCGGCACTTACAAGGGATGTTCTGTGGTTCTGTTTCAGGGCAGGAGTGGGGCTGCAGAAATCAAATCTTTGGGCTCCTTTTGGGGTACAGTGCTATTTCGGGTTTCACTCCGGGGGTCCTGGTTTTTTGACAACTTTCTCATCGAAGTGCAGAGGGGCTCTCGCATCAACTTTGAAGGCACAGTTTGTGGTTTCAGGTCTGGTCCCTCATCTAACAAGATGCTCGGCTATGCTCTAGCATTCAGGATACCTCTTTCGAGTTGTGTTGCTATGCTGTGAACGATACGTTTTGTGTTGCAAGCTCTAGATTCTATATTGCACATTGCACATATGCACCGAAGCCCCCATTCAGAAGTACTCTGCAAGAGAGATGGGAGGATGCCTTGAAGTTGGGAAGCAACGTTCCCGAGCCCAGGCCAAAGTTGAAATCGCTGTGCATGCTAGCTCAAGGAGAATGGAGCTTGGAGATGGATCTGAAGGGGTCGAAAGTTCAGCAGCAATACTCGTAGGACTAGTAGCTGAAGGCTTGGTTTCAATGCTTCTCGAAATCTCTGCGCCCATGATCTGTCTGAAGATCTTGGATCGGTTCAATGGAAACCAAAGACACGAGCTTGTTGCAGTACGTTACCGTCCACGTACGCCATGCCGGCCGTTCCAAAGCCGGAGTGGCGCCTGCCTGGCATGTTGAGAGGAGTTGCCCCAGATGTCTCTCTCGAGCGTATGAGCTTTGTTTTGATCTTCCCACCATCATCAGCAACGGTAGTCAATTGATCGTCAATATCAATGCCGCCACCGCTACAACCTTATTCTCGTCATCATCATCATCATCATCTCCATCCTCGCTAGCAGCAGCGGCCACGGAGGCAGCGGCAGCGGTAGCATCAACCACCACGGCCGTAATTACAACTGTTGCATGACCATTGCTACGACTGCGACAAGACTACTAAATGACTGAAAGTAAAAGTATACAGCTAGCAGTCGCAATACCAGGCAGCAGTCAACCAGGGTAGGTTTGGAGTGGAACATACTAGCAACACGCAGTGACGAAGACTGCTTGCTCATGCGGGCCCGTCAGTTGTGGTCACAGATAGCAGTGGGCAACGGGGTTCCGGTGCAGTGAACTCATCTGAGTCTCCCGGCAGGCAGGCTGCTGATTCTGGACGACGAGCATCTGCCTCAGACAATGAGACAGGGTGGCTTCAGACGGGCTTCAGCTTCAGAATCGTGCAGGTGCCGCGTTTGGCGCGAAGTCACATCCAAGTGGCTCCGGCTGGAGGACGGGCCCAAACAGCACCAATGGATATCAAAGCCTGAACCATCGTCCCATAACTCGACCGAAGACTCAAACACGAAGCCCTAAAGTCACCAGAGCAGAGACCCGGCATTTGAGGTCCCCGGCCGCCTGAAAGCAGCAACCCCAACGGCTTTTCCAGCCTCCAGGGTTGAGGGTGCAGCCTCCCCGGGTTGTCCATATGTAAAGCCTTGTTGCCCATTATAAGCAAAAACCTCATGTGCGTAGTAGAAGATAGGGGCTGGCCGAGATTCGAACCTGGAGTTGTAAATTGGCACTGCCTTGGACCCCAGAACCCGAAAGACTTTTGAGTTTCAAGCCAGGGTTCTGGCTGTTGTGGTTGAATTAATGTGATGAGTCGAACGTCTCGCTGGTAGCTGGGCTAGCTTACAATTCTACCATGCATGTCCCGTCCGGCAAGTTTTCCGAACTATGGGGATGTCTTTGCAGTTGCGTTAGCTAGTTCAGCTAGGTTAGCCGATGCAACCACGGAAATCATGGTCAGTTTCTGGTTCGGATGTTCTGCATGGATCGCCTTGTAGACCCGGGCACGTGCCCGGTGTTTGGGCAGACCTGGGCCGCGATGATGCTGTTGACACCTGCGACGTAAACAAGGAAGACATCAGCAAGCGGCGAGGGTGCAAGAACCCGGACGAGAGATGACGAGAGACAATAAAGTTACAGCCAGCGGGAGCCAGAGACATGGAAACAAGAACCCGGAGAAAAGCAGAACAGCGAGCGGCGATGACGCAAGGACCCGGAGCTATTCTCTGTTCCTCCTATTCTCATTGCCACTCCTGCAGCTCCCGCGACTCCTACTCCTACAACTCCTCTTCCTCTGCCCTCACTTTCGATTCCTAGTTCCTATTCCTAATTGCTGTTTTGCGATGTTTCGAATTCCTATTCCGTATATCTGCATGTCTTTGCCGACTTTGTGGGGAACCTCACCGCAGCTTCGCCGGAAGAAAATGGAGATCAATTACAGAAACCAGGAAAAGCACCAAGTCATGGCGACCCTAACACGAAAACTTAAACCCTGAAACAACAGCTTGCAACCTGAGCCGTAGATCCCAAACGGGAAGCGAGGGATCGACTTGGAAGGACGAGGCTCGAGGGCGGCTGTTGCGTGCAGCTTCGGCCCCGGTGCCCTTCCGGAAGAAGGAGGACCTACGCAATCAGTGCATCTATGCATCATCATCCGCATCTAGATAGTGTTGGATGCATCAGCAGCAGTGCTAATATTAAAAAATTCCTGTGCTGCTGGTTACACATTAGGCAAGCAGCTGTTCGACGGGGCCGTAGAGGATGATAGGGTTTCTGGGTGCTTTCGGTGCATCGGTTGTTTGCTCGCTTGACTTGGTGGCAAAGTGCATCATGCTGTCCCAATTGATTTGGGATGCTCTCTTTGTTTGACAGCGCTGACGTGACGCGACTTTCCAGTTATGTATGACATGGTCGGCCGGATGGAGTGCATACATTGAGCATTGGTTGTGTTCGGGCCTCTGGCTTCTAGTCTCGCAGGACCTGCGCGGCTATGCCAAGAAAAGCATTGCGCATAAGGCCAGCAGGACATCACTGGGCATCCTGCAGTAAGTTTAGGTTTCCTTTTGGGGTCTCTACATCAAGACCTTGAACGGTATCAAGGCGCATTGGGATCCCCCAAACTCACATCTTGCATGTCGCAGATCACCAGCGATTCGCTGCGCGCCGCAGGCAAAATGCAGGCTCGGGCGTGTTGGGTTCGGCGTTTCCAGTGAGCAATCGGCACCAAGGAAAGGGTTTTCGGGATGACAGTTGTCAGGGCTTCGGTGGAGGGGTTGCAGTTGCTTATTCTGCAATCTTTGTCGGAATTTGTTTTGGTAGCCGTGTTTCAACTTGTAACATTGAGGGTCTTATGATATCGTGTGCTTGAATTGACGGGATGGGCCGCAAGAGGAATTCATGGCAAGTGTCAATTACGATTGAGTGTTCATTGTCCAGCTTCTTAGTCAAGGTCTGGGCACATCCGACTCCGGGTGTTTAG